TCAATCAATCAGCCAATGCGATCCGCACGCGATGCTGATCACTGACCAGCAGGCGCAGCCATCGCAGCAAGACCCTTTCTCCACGACTCAATGCTGCGACACAACACCATTTATCAAGAGCGACTGTGCCCAGGAACGGAACGTAGGGCAGCATTACAACGGCGACGCACAATCAAAAGATCTGGCCGGATGGCTGCAGCTTGCATTTCTCCCCGGCAGTGGCCACCATGCAATTGTACAAACATCTCGATGCTGGCCGCCACACATCGGTGCCCAGAGGCACTTACTCGCTCAGCGATATTCCTCGGAGTGGGAGATGGTTTTGCAAACAGCACTAACGACGAGATCTATCGCGCGCCGATCCCCCACATTTCTCATCGACGGTAGCCTCGTCGGGTCTGATCTGATCTCATACCAATTCATATTACCGGTAATTAGCACAGATTAACAACATTTCCTGGCCCTGAGCTATCGAAGGCACACCCTCGCACATACGTAGCCCAGAGATGCATACAAGTCGCCGACCAGCCGTGTACTGACAATTGACCGTGAGGACAAACACGAATCTCACACTTGCATTCCTTTGTGGCTTCCCTCCGCACCAGATGCTCCGGGCAGTGTGCGTGATACATCACTTTTTCCATATTCACAGCCTGCCAGCGTGAACAGACTCGACAATGTGAAGTTGTGAACGGCAATGGCATTCGCTCGGCAGGTCCCTCGCAGGGCACGCACTGATGCGATTGGTCCGATGCCCCAATGGCCGCCGGCTGGTGCCATCTATCGTTTTTTTAGGTTCAAGTCCCCCTCTGCCAGAGGCCCCAGTATCGCCCGCGTGGGGCCTCGCTCAACGACTAACTGCGCTGCCACCACATTCGTCATCACGCGTTATGATGCGCAAGCAACGTCAATTCGGGAAGAAATTGTCCACCTCCCGTCCTGTCCTGCTTTTGCCAAAGTTTGATTCCCATTTGTAGGACAGCGGAATGCCGTGCCCTGCATGGAACCAATCCTGCCGCTAACATCGGTGCACTAATGCCAGATCTCTCCTGGACCCGATCTGCGGGTTTCAGACGGGATAGATACCAGATCTACAAATTCCAGAAGATATTACCCTGCCACAGCTGGAAGAGGTGGACTGAGTTCATAACCAGGAAACGAAAACACGAGCATAGGACGGGCAGGCTGTGCCACGAAAGGCTTCCTCCTCACAAAGATGTGAAGTTGGCTCATGCCCTGTCGTCTCTGCCAACCTTAGTTCTACTAGGCGAGCAACAGCATCGAGGTACCTTAAAAGGGGCTCCTCGCAAATATGACGAATTTTACCACCCAAGTGACGAAGCTTTTTTCTCTTTGCTTACAAATGTCCCCGAAAATACGCGTACCTGACTGCAGCGGCCGACTGGGGGCAATTGTGCATCTGCTTTGTGCTGAGAGGGTGTGATGAGATTTGCCTCTTCGCTCCGCAATAATTCAAACTCAGTCACGCTCGAGCGACCCTCTCGTCCGAACTCGCAGAAACCAACAAGTATCACTCCGCGCGTATCTGACGTCTCTTGGTCTTCTGTCATGATGATGTCTTTCGGGGAGGAGACAGACTTTGCATTTTGAGGCACAGAACTGCAGGGTAGTCGATTTGTGGCCATCCTACGACGATCGTCTACGACTGCTACCAGCTCGTGATACGTACGGAATAGGGTAAGCCATATCCTGCCGATATCCTCAACGTGTCAAGCCTTGCTCTTCTGTGCATACGTATAATTTGGACAATGGCCAACCCGGGTAGCGATTTTGTTTTCAACAGGCCTTGCGATGCATGATTCCCTAACCATAGCTTGAGACTTTGGATCTGGATGTTGTCTCGCTGAATCTCATGCGCGTGAGCCACGCCAATACCCCCCTTACTGTGCAAACCTTCTCGTGCTCCTGGGCGGCAAGTTTGTTCATCAGTCACTCGAGACGGGGAAGAAGAGGATTGCATCACATGGAGCCGGCACAAGAACGACGGGCATTGATCAAAACATCATAATCGCATGTCCCAAGTCTCCATATGTACTATACGCCAAGCCCTCCTACCCCGACAACACATTAACCGTTCCCCCAACAAGAAACGGTCCAGCCGTAATATGTGATCCCGATAAACATGGGTTGGACGTGTAATGATAGCGACAACAATGTAAAAATGACTCTCAAGACGACTTCCGTGGTATCGGTGCTCCGCAACGCCGTTGGCCCGTTGATAATTGTGGTACAGTCGAGAAAATGCGCTAAAAGGACGTGGAGAGGATGTGACGCCTACCACCCCTTCTTCCTCGCGAACCGCTTGTTGAGGAGGGCAAGAACCTTGGGCACGTTGAACTGGACGTATTCGAGATCCAGCTCATCCTGGTTGTCCTTCTGCATCTCCAGAAGGTCGTCCAGCTTAAGGTCGAGCTCTAAAAGACCCCGGTTGCGGCCTGTCTCTGTTAGCCTGTTGATCTCAGACGCGGAAAAGGCAAGAGCTTACCCTTGTAGTGTAGTGAAATGACAAACGTGCCCGGCAGTGGGCTCGTAAAGTTGAAGTAAATGTTGGCCCGTCTGTTATCCGGCACATTGCTCTTCTGTATCACACCCTCCTTCTCCAGCTGCTGGTGGGTGAACTTGTATGGGCCGAGGATCTGCTGCTTCTGCTGCTTCCTCTTGGTGCCCTCGCTCTGCGAGCGGACATTGTGCAGGTAGCTCTTGTAGGTCTCCAGTTGGCCGACCAGGTACGTGTTGTGGTCACGGATCGTTTTGTACACCTCTTCGAGTTTGGCCGTCTCCACAATGACGCCTTCTTTGAGCGAGCCTAGGTGATGAAGCTCCTGCTCGACCTCGTCCCTGAGTAGGCCGAACTGATCGCTCTTGTCGATAACGCCCAGCTCCTGAAGCTGTGACAGGAGCTCCATCGCGCGGATGCCTTTGCGCACCATTACCGCATCATTCCGGCTCGTGGCAGCCGCGTCGGCAATCCGCTCGAGTCGGAGAGGGCGTCGAGCCACCGGGCTAGCGGAAGGAATAGACCGCATGATTTGGACGAAGATAGACTTGGCTTCCATAAAGAAGACCTCTTCTTGCGTAATGTCCAAGGCCGCCGTCAGCGTATCAATGGCCGTCTCCCAGCGGCTGAAGAGCGGTAGGTTGATGACCTTGTTCTCCTTACGCGGGACTTGCGCTGGGGCCGCCCCCAGCTCCGACATGATGATGGCCAGGTGCGAGTTCTCGTCTTTGCAAATCTCACCCTGGTGCTTCTCGATCAGGCCGTGCATGGTGTATATCTCGTTCAACGTAATGTCCAGCTCCAGGTCCTTCTTCGACAGCGCCACGTAGTTGTCCATTTCGAGGCTTTCATAAAAGTCCTGCACCTCGCACAGCTCAAGCAGGAATTTGTTGATGCGATCCTTGTTCGATTGGACAAAAGGTTGCAACTTGGCCATGTAGGGTTCCTTTGCGTATGACGGTTTGTTGGCTAGGTTCTGCAGCATCTTGGCGATGTAGGTGAGCGTACGTCGCGGGCGCTCGGCTGGTGTTCCGTCGATAAGCATGTATGATTTGGGCGTAACGATGGCTGGGTTGATGAAGCGCAGGAAGAAGAAACCTCCAATGAGCGTGCAGATCACCTGGTCATTCGCGTCAGGATACTTGCGCTTCGTCAAACTCCTGATTTGCTTGCAGATCCAGCGGATACCGTATGGGGCCACCTCCAATCCCTCGATGATGGTGTTCAGGAAGCCATTGGCGATTTCGGTAAGCATTGTCAATCTGGGCTCGATGATGGCTTGTACCTGCGCATTCTCGGCAGCCTGCTCCGCGGTGATGCCTTTGGGTAGATTAGGCGGAGGCTTGCCGGTGTCCTCCTCAATCTGCTCAATCATGCGCTCATAGACCTTCAAAGGATTAATTTCCAGATCCAAATCCCGCAGCTGGATCAAGCTATCGATTCGATCGGCAAGTACAGACTTGAGGAAGCTCTGACCGGGACCTCGCCGGGTGTAAGTCGTCATCATGCGTGATACTGGCGTGTTGGCTCGGAGAAGCGAGTTGAAATCGGCAGTCGTGTCGAACTGGTATGTCAGGACGGATTGAAACATGGTAAGCAGCAGGTGCTCCTCGCGGCTCTCGTATTGGTTTCCGTAAATCGTGAACATGACAGTCTGGAGCAGGGAGTCAATCTCCGCCATCGAAACCAGTCTGCACAGATGCGCAATGTGTCGCGGCTCGGTTTGTAGGAGAAACATGAGGTTGCCGTATTTCTGGGTTTTGTCGTCGTTAGGAAAGAAGCCCTGCTGCATGTCGGTGGCGTCCTCCAAATGGCTCGCGACTTCGTTCTGCTCCTCCAACGCCATGCGGTTCTGAATCAACAAGGCAATGCGCGAGTCGAGGTATCGCACATCCTTTTCCAAAACAAAGTTCTTCTTGGACTGAGATGAGATCTTGGATTTCAGTTCACGAAGCGTCTTTTGCGCTGCAGGAAGTCAGCAGTCGCACAGCATGGCAGATTAAGAGAGTCTCACCTTTGGCCAGTTCATCTTCAATCTGGAGATCGCCATCGTGTGCTGACATGGACATATACAGCGCAGACATGGAGTAGCGTTTCGATTGACGCGCCGAGCGCGACCCGTCGTACGAAGACATGGTGTTTTGCCGTGTGAGGGGGTTGCCAGACGAGGAGGAGGCCAGGGAGTCGCGCGACGGGTTGTGCAGCTTGACTGACATGATCTTGGTTGCGGTCGGATTAGATGGTCGTATTAGGCACTCTGGCCCTCAGAGCCTCGGAGCTCTTCGACTTGCTGAGGAGGCTCCAAAATGTCGCACGAAGGCTGTGAGTCGTTGAGATACTGGCAATGCTGGCGATGCTGGCAACGATGCTGTGGAAATGTGCGACGCTGTGGCTAAATGTCGAAGTGCAAGGGCACGGTACTGAGGAGGGGGGCAAGCAGCGCAGCGACAACGAAACACAAAAGCAGAGAGGCACCGCGGCGAATTGCGTGAAGAGAGCGGAGCGTTGGTTGACTGCAGCACAGGGGATGCAATCGTACGAGCCCGTATGATGGGCATGCGACGCAACAGAACAGACTTGGGAGGATCGGAAGGCGAGGAAAGGGAGGAAAGAATGAGAGTGCTGGTGAGAGTGGTGCAGGCAATGGTGGGACACCTTGGAGTTGAGGGGGGTTCAGGGAGGAAGGCGCGAAAAACGGCTGCTCCTGCCTCCTGGTCACCTTCCTGCCCCTGGCTGACTCTCACGATGCACCACACGCGGGCGCCTGTTTAGAGGACTGGACCCACCGCTAATGCTCCTTTCCCTTTAGTCTCGCCATTATGACCAGTGCTAGACTAGAAATGCAAGTAATTAGCCAGGTCAATTCCATCACATTTCCAGCCCGTCTTGTTCCTCCTCTTTTTTTTGCGCGTTCATTACTAGACGCAGCGATTCTCCAGTCCTCTGTGACTCTGTCACTGTCACAGAGCCTTCCTCGGCGTTTGCAACCTGGCCATTATAGGCTGGGCCAGGCACAGACCAGCCCAGTAAGTTCGATGCTGCTATCTATACCTCTTTGCGCCTCTTCGTACGTCAGTTTCGGTGGACCAGGCGCTTGTCTCAGACGCCGCACGCCCAAACGGGACTTCTCGTTGCCACACTTCTTGCTGATCTGGACGACGACCCCTGATTTTTAATTCTTTATGAATTGGGAGCTCGCAATGATCGCGTCTGGAAGGCCAATTCTCAACGGACACGCCATCCTGACCGCCTAGCCTCGCTCTGGGACGCCATCATCTCCCACCTGTACTAAGGTCATGACCAAGGTCTTGGCCGACGTGACGTCTGCAATCCCAGGAAACGCCCGTCCAACGGTCGACCTGGGTCATGCTCTCGGCTCAGAGCCTGCAGGGGCAGGCTCCAGTCGCTTCGGCATGGTGGTGTGGGGGCAGTCGCGCCAGCGACAGCCCAGTGTGTACGAAATAGCGAGGCAGCACTCACTCATGAGACACTGCCTGATATCGAGGGCAAGACTTATTCAAATGGTGTCTAAGTAATCTTGCCAGAGCAAGCAATAGACAGCCATGGGACGTTGCAATGGGATTGTCCGTGCAAATGCCTGTTGCGGGAGCGGATGCTGTACTGAGGGGATAGCCAAGGCGGACCATCCATCCTACAAGCTACGTACTATGCACCTGACCCAGTTCGGCGCGAACTTGAGTTTATGGCTCTGGGGTATGTGCAATTATGCCAATTCGCCAAATGCAAGATCGACTGTGTCATATTCTGTGCGATGTGACAGAAAACGGATTGTCAATGCGCGGGAACGGCGCATCCTCGAGAGCCTGACATCTCGCCAAGTACAGGTACGGAACCGCCTCAGTCATTTCTCAAACACTTAAGTTGGACGGCCAGTTTTCTCATGGTTTCAGTCGCTGAATATCTATCCGTAGATTCCGTACACGTCTGTTGATAGATACGACTTTCGCCCCCGCAAGTCCGGCCCACGGATGATCTCCAGGGACTGGGGTCGCAAGGCAGGATGGGCGTCTGCAAGGAAGACCCTGACGTTGAAGTCTGTCCACCCGTTGGGCCGTTGAAACCCCCTGATTGAGGCTTGACGTTCCAGGCTTCCAGTAGTGACCCAGCACGGCATTTGATTCTTTTTGAAACGCTGTTGCAGATCCTATTTCCTAAGATGCCCCTTTCTATCCTTTACCAGGCTTGGGACATGCTGTAATATCCCGTCACCCATCAAAGTCCGCGAAACCTCATTCCTCGATGAACCTTCACAGATGTTGACGCTAAACTAACCGGTGACGCTCGAGCAATGGGTATATTGCCTCGACCGTCGGCAAAAGTTTAATTACCGACGACCTCTCTGTCGTGGCTGGGCTCCTACTTGTATAACATCAGGCTCCTTGAGAATGTGAGGAATTGGGTCCATCAACAGTGGTTCAAGTATTGTGAGCCGATGCATGCTCAAGCCAATGATGATAACTTCAAATCCAGCGAGGAATCTGACAAGGCTCCCATAGACTGGAATACCTTGTTGATTTGATGACATTGTCAGGCATATCTCTTTAGATCTTGGTGGGTGCAGGGCATCCGAGGTGCAAATGAAGTCCGATGTTCGGCCTACGTGGCTGGGCGCGCCGGCCGCTACTTAATTACGGCGGTCGTGCCATATATACAACGCGTTCAAAGGCACTCGCATGAGCTTGGGTACACTTAAGTAATCAATAGATGCCGCAGATGAACAAGACCAATGCCATTCGCTTGCTGGTAATTTTTGTATCATGAAGCTGCTTGGGAGAAAGCTGTAACGTAAAGGGCCGCGGGATGAGCTCCATCGGCTGATGATGTAATAACAATCCCCCCCGGCCTAAGGCGTTCTACCGTCAGGCAGTCCGCTCAAGGATCCTCGCCTTTGAACCTCGCAAACCCACGTGCGAAACTCGAACCATCCAAAACCAAGCCAAATAACCACTCACCATGGCTCTTCGAATGCCACTTCGTCGCGTTGCTCCACTGATCCGACCGGCCACGGCGGCCGCGCGAAGCTTCCACAGCACGCCTCGCGCCCTGGTGAAGGTTGGCGACGAAATCCCCAGCATCGAGGTTCTTCACGAGACATCGCCCGGTAACAGAGTCAACCTTGCCGAGGAGTTTGCCAGCAGCGATGGATACATTGTTGGTGTCCCGGCCGCGTTCTCGGGGACTTGCTCCAGCAGCCACATCCCCTCGTACATCAACAGTCCCAAGCTCAAGTCGGCCGGCAAGGTCTTTGTGGTTTCGGTCAATGATGCTTTTGTGTGAGGATGCCAGGAAAATCGGAGATCATTGACTGACAATCCACAGCATGAAGGCCTGGGCTGACCAGCTTGACCCGGCCAAGCAAACTGGGGTAGGCAACCGCCGTGTATCTTCAGCGTCGCATTGAGACTGACACACGTAGATCCGCTTCCTCGCTGACCCGTCTGCTGCCTTTACTCAGGCTCTTGACCTTGGATTCGACGGCACCGCCATCTTCGGCGGCGTACGAGGCAAAAGATACGCGCTCAAGGTCGTGAACGGCAAGGTCGCTGCGGCTCACGTCGAGCCTGACGGCACTGGCTACAAAGGTGAGCTAGCTTGGTTGGTAATGACACTCGAACGTTTTTGGCTAACAGCGCCCAGTGTCAATGGCCGAGAAGGTACTGGAATAGAACTATAACCGAATGGTCAGGACACATAGAGTACATGTACCGCAACAGACCCTTGTGCGAATCTACGGTTTCAAGTTGGATTTCTGCCCTGGCGCCCTTGACGCAGCGTCGAGTTGGAAGAAATCGATGAAGAAGCAACAGTACCACTGCAACAGCCTTGAAATTATCGGAATCTGACAGATGACCAATCTCCCATGACCAGGAAAAAAAGAGAAACCTTCGGAATCGAGCTCTGTTGGTAATTACCTACGCTTCCACTGCCCATCTGGCAGGCAAGGTTGAGACTCACTGTAGTCCGATTAGTCACGCATGACTCGGATTGGGTCCACCTGCTAGTGCCTGCAGTTGCCGGCTTCAGCCTTGGCCCTTCGTGCCCAGCGCCCCTGCCTTGCCTGCCTGATATTAGTGCCCCTCCACTCCATCTTCCTGATCTAAAGGTCATCCGTCATCACCATCCATCCGTTTGCCTCCAACAACTGCCTTGGCCTCGTGTTACGTTCTTGGTCATTTTCAGCCATTCCCGGTCACGTTTGTCGATTTCCTGCACTCTTATTGTCACACAAACGAACAGACCTCCTCTTGCCCTGTACTCACCGTCGAGTCCGCCATTAGTTGCTGCCAGCGTGACTCCCCGAAGTCGATTACCAAGCGAGCCATCGCCTAGATCCGAAGCCCTTTTTTTGCGATAGTACGCAGAGAGCACCGAAGTCTACCGCGTGCCTGGCTGCGTGGCCTGACCAGATTACAAAGCGCAGCCGCCACCATTCCGCCAACCACGAGGAAGCGGAAGGCTGCTGAGGCGACGATTCTCTCCCCAACCCGAGAAACCACTTCTAATAAAAAGCCACTTGCCTCAGCAGCCAAGGTTGAAGCGGCGCCCCCTACGCCCGTGACTACCGGAATGGACTCTGACGACGACTTCATGTCTCACGGCTCGAGCGATGACGAGCTACTGCTCGACGACAGCGGAGACGACATGTCGGGGCCCGACGACTTTGACGATGAAGATTTCGACGAGCCTGACCCCGAATTCGGACTCGGCAGCAAGGAACTCGAAGCCCCGAGGAGGCAAGCACACATTGTACCCTTCAAGGTGTTCGACCCGGCCGACATCCAGAAGCAGCAAGACGATATTGTGGACGAAGTCAACATGATTTTGAACATGAGCAAAGAGGACGCGGCGATTCTGCTCCGACACTTTCGGTGGAACAAAGAACGCTTGCTAGAGGACTACATGGACCGGCCAGAACGCGTCCTGGAGGCTGCCGGGCTCGCCAGTACAACGACGGAACCCCCACAACTCGAGGTCATCCCCGGATTCATGTGCGACATCTGCTGCGAAGACGGTGACGATCTCCAGACATTTGCAATGAAGTGCGGCCACCGTTACTGTGTGGATTGTTACAGACACTATCTGAAACAAAAAATCAAGGACGAGGGAGAAGCCGCCCGCATACAATGCCCCTCGGATGGATGTGGCCGCATTCTCGACTCCAGATCTCTGGATCTTCTAGTCACCGAGGACCTCGTCGACCGATACCGCGAGCTGCTGAACCGCACGTATGTCGAGGACAAGGATAGTTTTAAGTGGTGTCCAGCGCCCGACTGCCCGAACGCGGTTCAGTGCTCTGTCAAGAAGAGTAGTCTCGACAGGGTCGTTCCGACGGTCGAGTGTCGCTGCTCATTCAGATTCTGCTTCGGCTGCCCCAACCCTGACCACCAGCCCGCGCCTTGCGAGCAGGTCAAACGTTGGCTCAAAAAGTGCGCTGACGACTCTGAGACGGCAAACTGGATCTCGGCCAACACAAAGGAGTGTCCCAAGTGCCAGTCCACCATTGAGAAGAACGGAGGGTGCAACCACATGACATGCCGCAAATGCAAGTACGAGTTCTGCTGGATGTGTATGGGACCATGGTCTGAACACGGCACGAGCTGGTACAACTGCAACAGGTTCGAGGAGAAGAGTGGCTCAGAAGCTCGAGACGCCCAGACTAAATCTCGCACATCGCTCGAACGCTACCTTCACTACTACAACCGCTATGCCAACCACGAACAGTCGGCCAAGCTTGATAAGGACATTGCACAGAAGACTGAGAAGAAGATGGTGCAGCTGCAGAGCGCGTCGGGCATGTCCTGGATCGAAGTGCAGTATCTCAACTCAGCATCGCAGTCTCTTCAAACGTGCCGCCAGACATTGAAGTGGACATATGCCTTTGCTTACTACTTGGCGCGCAACAACCTGACGGAGATCTTTGAGCAGAACCAGAAGGACCTGGAGATGGCAGTGGAGAACCTGTCTGAGATGTTTGAGAAGCCCGTGGCGGACTTGTCTGACGCCAAGCTCAAGGTGGATATCATGGACAAGACGTCATACTGCAACAAGCGGCGCATCATCTTGCTCGAGGATACGGCGACCAATCTAGCCGAAGGTGAGTTCTTTCCGTGATTGGAGTCATCGTTTCCCTCCTAACAGCACCAGGCAAATGGGAGTTCAAGGAGGATCTCATGGCTCCGCGCCCGTAATCATATGGACCCTTTTTAGAATCTGCGGGAAAGCAACAGAGCATGGCATACAAAGCGTACCCAACGATTAGACTAGACGGCCGCACGCATCATCTGTTAGGAACGGCGTTGACAGCGTACATTATTTCACAGCCATGGGAGCCCGGTTTAAGTGTTTTAAAAGGATAGGAAATGGACACGATGATATCACGGTTCTTGTGCCATTCTTGAAAGTTGTACTCAAATGCCTACAATGGGCAATGTCTACAATGCCTGAACTCCAAAAAACCCCTTGCTGTGGCCAAGACAATAACCCCTGTATCCATGCAGAACGTACCGTAACACCGACAGTGTCTCAAACAACCAATAAAGCGAAACGAAGAAAAAAAAAACAAAATCAACAAACACCGCTTATGCACTTGTAAAGGCAAATCGTGAAAAGTCAGGCTTCGACACTGGCGCGCTTTCAAAGTCCTCCTCATCCTCTCCGTCGCTATTGGGGATGATTTGGTCCTCGCTGCCGCCCGTGGGTCTGTTCAGTGCAGCTATCTCTACCACATCGACCTTAGGGAGAGGGAAGGAAGCTGGCTCCGCCGGCTCGCCCGTGGGCTTCTTCTTGGGGATCAGAGATTCCCGCGGCTTCGGCGACGCTGTGTTGGGCAGTAAGGCGCGGGCGCCGAGGCGTTGCAGAGCGGAAAGGCGGGCACTCCCGCCAGCCGTCGACGGGCCGGTGGCTGGGGTAGAGACGGAACTGAAGATGGAGGAGCGGCGGGATGCATCTGATGCCGGTGTATCAGAAGGTGTAGGTGCGAAGGAGTACCGGTTGAGGCTGCGTCGAGACGGCGTGCTGGCCGCGTGCCGTCGACTTGCTCTCTTTGGCGGCGGCATCGACCTTGTGGGAGACGGAGGAAGGTCTTGGCTATCGGGCTGCTGGCTGAAGGTGATCTCAGTCATGCTCGAGTTCGCTGTTTCTTGGCTCGTCGATATGCCAGAATCCTGGCTATCGTCCTTGACGGGAATCTCCGCCTTGCCCTTGCCTTTTGACGGCGAGATCTCCTCGTAGATAGAAATAGACTTCTTCTTTGGGTCAGGGGAGCTGAATCCCTCAAAGTCGGGCAAATCCATCAGCGCTTCGAATGTCCCTTCCGACGAAACGTGAGAGTGTCTGGATGTCTTCTTGACGCTGAAGAACTTGCTCTGTTTTGGTGAGTCATCTTGCTCGTTTGAGTCATCACACAATCGTGCTTTCTTAGGCGGTCTCGTTGAACCGTCGGCTTTCGTAGGTTGAGGTCGTCTGCCGGCTGGCTCCATACTAGCAAGCATATTCTGGATGGGTTCGGTCCGTCTGCGCTGGAGCCTCGGTGAAGTTCGCGTAGGCACCCCTCCCGTGCTTTGTCTTGCCGTTGGCGGGCGGGCTGTATCTAGATATGGCCGTGGGAGAGGGAAGACCCTTGGAGCTGACCCTCCATCTGTAAGCTGTGCCAGTCTTTGCTCGTCAATCTTGAAGCAGTTGGGGTCCATGGCGCCCATCGGAATGCGGTTGTTTCCTTTGAAGTAGTTTGTGATGGGCTTCGGGGGCGGTGGCCCTGGCACCGTAGCAGCCGCTGCTTGCGAGTGTCTACGTTTCGACGGAGTAGTGGCGGTGACAATCGGAGTCTTTGTGATGGGGTCGACGTCTCCCTCGGCGATCTGTCGTGCCAATGATGGTTCCACGTACGCCCCAATATATGGCATCTCCTCCGCAGTTCGACGATTGTCGAGATCCGTCAGATGGACCAACTCTCGCTTTTCCGGACAGAACACCCATTGGTGGAGGAAGGTTAGCTCGGCTTGGTAGAACTCGGACAGGTAGTTCTCTGAAACGCGCTTGCCCCCCAGCTGCACCATTTGCACTACCCTCTCCGGTGTTTTCGATTTTCGCAGCAACCGATATGCCGTCTTCAAACCGACGCCCGGTAGGCCTTTGGTGTAATCGCAGCCGCTGAGGACGGCCATGCGTCGGAAGTCTTGGTCGGTCCACCCTGTCAAAGAAACCTCCCTGCATGCACAAAAGTCGCGGCGGTTGATTTCGATGCAGTGGCCGTACTGATCGAGCTTGGTCAACAGTCGTTTTGCCCCAAACACTAGCAGATCGGAGTCATCCGAAAGGATTCCATCAATGAGGCCCTTGCGCTCAAGGTAGACGAGTTGAGCGTCAGCCTCGTACGGAGCGACGACGTACGGGATGTCCATCTTCTTGAGTTGCTGAATGAGGTTGGAAGCCATCTCGGGAGTGATGTCAATACACTTCTGGAACTCTTGTGCAGCCAAAGCCTTCTTGCCAGCCTTGAGAAGCTCCATCGCCAGCTTCTTCTTGTCATTGCGGCTCTTCTCGCGGCTGTCCTCGGTGGCTGCCTTGCTCGGGAGGTAGTCGCCATCAAAGACGAGGTAAGGCTTGACACCAAAGTGCTTGAGCATGCGCACGCGCTGCAGGGCCGAGGTTACATATCTGGGTGGTCAGCACACAAACACAAGGCATCATAGTGGCGCTTTGCTCACCTGGTCGTTGGTTTGCCCTGGCCGAGCTCTACGGCGCAAGAGTAAGCAGCTCGATGCAGCCAGCCGTAGCCATCGACACCAAGCGTCAAGCCTTCAAAATTTTTGAGCTCCGTTGGTCTCTGGATGGACTTGAGGAGGGGCAGAAGGCCTTTTCTGCGTTAGCTGGGTCGACATTGGCGCTGGGAGAGTCCGAGAGACATACCTTGAACACCCATGGTGCAGACTGCTCTGCCGATGCAAGCGACCCAAGCCTGGACTCAATACTATTCTATCGCAGTCCGTGACACTCTCGAGATATTGGTCGATCGTCCAATGGGGTGCACTGCCACCTATATGGCTTTAGACGCGTTCGTTGGCACGCAACATGGAAGGTACGCGTGGGCCAAAACAGTAAACAAGGAGCCCTGGCTATCTACAGCAAACGATGGACAGGCGATGAGGCTCGAAAAATGCAAGTAAGAGACTAAAAGTCTGGAAAGCAAGAGATCAGAAATTGAGCAAGTGCAAAGTCCAGATCAGATGGGTGTCTTGAGAAGGATGAAGCGTGGCAGGTAGTGCCAATGGGCCCAGGCGTGCCCGACGCGCCTGGCATCGATTTAAAGTGGAAGCTGCTGGGGAGCGCGTCTTGACTTCCCAATGGGGCTAGCTGCCGTCCGCCAACATTCCCCCAGCAACCTGGGGTCTCAGACAAAGCGTCATGAGTGGTCCTTGGTATTCTTTCCGAAGGAGGCGTTGGGTGAGTCGGTAATTCTCGTCAAGGTCCTGTGTGTTTGACAGCTCTCCGCAGTTGGTGAGTGTGAGCTTTGTTCCCAACAGATCATCAACTATAAACTCAGATGCATGACAGACATCGGACCCACTCTCGCCGGCACTGCATTAGACATTGGATCGAGTTGTCCGAAATGAGGACCATCGGCCGAGATCACCATGCGGCGATGAAGAAGAAAGTGACAGAGAGCTGACAAGCTCCGGGGAGAGACTCACAATCGGACGAGAACAGATGCTCAAAAGGCGTGTCTTGCCGCGTGCTCCTCAACCGTTTTTGTGGTGAAGCAGCAGCAGGGATAGGGAACCATATTCGATCCATGGCGCTCAGTGGTCAATGGCATTTGTGATGCATCTGCGCCTAGGTCATATATGCTTGCTAGACCCATGACTGTCAGCTTGTAAAGAGTGTCGAGCCTAGTATGTAGTATAGCTTGATCACATACAGGCGGTCTTCCGAAGTGCCAAAAGTCGCTTCAAGGCTCAAGCGGCGCGGACCCTGATTGTAAGTAGCCCCGCCATAGCCCCCACAGCGGAATTGGCACCGGAGCCCCACGAAATTTCTCTCACTGGGAGTCGCAGCCTTCGAAAAGTTTCATGTGATGGCTTCACCTTTTTTGTGATATTACGACTCACAGAATCGAATCATCTAATATCGCAAAAGTCCCGAATCGCCATCATGCCAAGCTCATTGCACAAGACGCGCAAACAAATCGCAAAGAAGCGTAATGGCATTCCTACAGCCCTTCACGAAAAGTCGCGAGACTCGATGCGCCTGCACAAGGCGACTATCCGTGATCAGCGCTTAGAGAAGTTGCACAGTGCGCGGAGTAAGAGGGAGCTGCCTATCCGTAAGCCTTCCTTTGTGAATGAAATGTTCAGATGCTGATGAGGTGTAGTGGACAGAGCTGTGTACTTCCAGGAGAGTGCTCGCGAGGTCGAAGGTGGTGTGCTGGACATGGAGACTGTCCAGAGGCTGATCGAAACGTAAGTTGCCCACTCCAGAATTTTGTCTGTACTGAAACCAGGTAGCTTTATTCATCAGTACGAAGAGGAATATAACACTATCAAGAAAGAGCGTAGGCCTGGGCGTCCGGCCTCATCGAAGGAGGACCTCCTCAAGATCAAGATTGCTGCGCTCAAAGAGGAGCACGAGAAAGGCTTCCGTGAGTACTGTTTGGACAGCTCAAAGCAACCAATACTGATCCATATACAGATATTCCAGATGTGATGTCCGCGGAGAGCGCAAGGAAGCTGGACGAGTGGGAGGGCAACTGGACCTCATTAACAGACGTCCCCTGGATCAAGGTCACCACGAATTGCCTCGCGAGACCAACTGATTTCCCCTCCAAGGCTTTGGCTTGAGGACTGAGTCTCACTCGAATCCGTCCGACAAACACCGAATTTACGCCCTGAGCATGCAATGGACTTGGTGGTCGCTATGGGCTTGTGCCGCGTCCTGCTAAGATTACTTGTATGGCAGCTCAAAACGGCGGCGCCTCCAGATACGACGTATCTCTGGTGGTCAGGACTCAGGTACCCCTACAACATCTCTGAACAGCGCAGAGATCGGACGCCCTTCGGCAGCTAGAGTCACAACGCACGCAACAACACATGACGGACGGCCCCTTGTTGGACAGCAGCTGCAACGTGCCGGCGGATATGCATAATGAAGCGATGAAACCAGATGGAATATCGGAGCCCATCAATGGTATATCATGAGGGCATTTTGGCTTTTCCACACTGCTCCCAGAATAAACCAGCAAGCGCGAGCGATGATTCAAAATCTACTTGACCAGATACTTTCAACGCAATGTGCCATTAATTCAATTACTTCATCACTCGAACCGCTGATCACAAACATGGACATGATGCTTCCTCAGGTCACGTGGTCCCGCGTTGTCTGCTCACCCGTGACCCTCGTCGCGATTGGCCCCATCCGCAACCGCCCCAAATTTTCGAGAAAGCTGCGTCGACAGAGCTCCATCCGTCATCCCCTCGTGCAAATTTCAACATCACACTTCATCCTTTTCCCATCCAAGCATTGATTCAGTCTCACAACCCGCCATCATGCTCTCTCTCCGTACTGTCGCGCGCTCTGCGCCCCGGGCCATCGGCCGCATGACCGCTGCCTCGTCCGCCATGGCCGCCCGTCCCAGCGCGCTCCTCTACAAGCAGACCACTTCCTACATGGCGCGCCCCGTCGCCGCCAACTTCTCCACATCCATGGGCCGCTGGGCGCAGAAGCAGGGCGAGACCGACGAGGAGCTCTCCGCCAAGCTGGACTCAGAGATCCAGGTCGAGGAGGAGATGAAGGCGAATGAGCAGGATCCCGCCAGCGTCAAGGACTTTCTGGCCAACACGGCCTTTGAGCTGATTGACTCTCCCGGACAGGAGGTTGTCAAGCTCGTCCGCAGCTTCGGCGATGAGAAGTAAGATCTTTGCTCTTTGGTGCCCCGTGCTATTTCGAACTGTGCTGACTCTTCCAGAATCACCGTCAGCTTCTCCATTGCCGACATTACCAGCTACGACCCCTACGGCCAGGATCCCGCCCTCGAGGACGACGAGGCCTTTGATGACGAGACCAACATGCAGAACTCCAACAAGCAGTCGCACGTCCAGTCGACTGGTGGCGCTCGCTCTGCTCCCGCCGAGGAGGACATTGAGGGCGAGGAGGACGAGTTCGACGAGCCCCCGACCCCCATCAGCCTCTCCATCCTGGTCGAGAAGCCCGGCAAGGCGGGCGGCGCCCTGACCATTGACGCCTCCGCCGCCAACGGCAACATCCAGGTCGAGAACCTGCACTACTGGGACGACGTCTCGGTAGCCAAGGCCGAGGGCCCGGAGGCGACACACAAGCGCGCCGAGCTCTACCCCGGCCCTCCCTTTGGCACCCTCGACGATGACCTGCAGGTGCTGATGGAGCGTTACCTCGAGGAGAGGGGCATCACCCAGGCGCTGGCCGTCTTTGTGCCCGACTACGTCGACGTCAAGGAGCAGAAGGAGTACGTCCGGTGGTTGAACAACATCAAGAACTTTGTCGATGCGTAAAGCGCGAGGGCGAATGACGATGAACTCTGTAACGAATAATTTCCGCTCTTGTACTATACCGACTGGGAAAGGCGATACCATAATATGTAACATCAAATACTGTAACAGATAACGTCTGAATCCATTCATCACCAACCCACATTCACCAAAAACCAGCGTACTCGTCACAACAGTAGCCCGCGTGTTTGTGATCTCACAGTAGTCACCGTGCCGTATGCAAACCCAGTCCTCAAAACGCCCACACAAACGCCGCTGTCGCGAATTCCAAACCAGGCGATATACCTATATGTCTGTACCTAATCAGCAAAGCCCTCTCTCTCCCTCCATAGTCTATGCAAAAGTCGTCTCAGATTATTCTCGCTCGCAGCAAACACTTCTAGATAATCCTCGCTCAAATGACACCTTCGAGACTCCACTCGCCCCTTTGTGCCCGTTCAAGCACCTCGCGGCCCTTGTCCGTGAGATCGGGCCGGCCGCCGTTGCCAGTGGCATGGTCGAAGAAGACCGGCTGGAAGGTGGTACCGGCCCGCTCACGCTCGCGAGCCTTCTCGCGCTGGGCCTCTTCGAGCTCGAGCTTGATGTTCGTGGCCTGGGAGAATTGCTTGTTGTGGATCGCGTTGGTGACACCGGACCAGAAATGGAGAGACTCGTTGGGAGCTTGCTGCTCATCGGGAGGAAGGATCTTGGGAGCGACGTTGAGAGGCGCAACATCAATGATAGTGTGCTGGTCCTCGGGGGCGACGTTTTTCTTCTCACGTTAGCCTTGGCTCTGCAGACAAATAGATTTTCACTTACGAATGGCTTGGGCCCGAGAGAGAAGAGAACGCGTTCCCTCCAGGGACCGTTCAGACGAGCCAGAACGTCCGCGTCCGGAACATCCTGCACCCTATGCTTGTCGTCATTCTCGGGGTCGTACCTGAAGATGACACCATCGATTTTGTTCACGGAGCGGGTCCAGCCCTCGTCGTAGTAGTGCAGGATGCACTTAATCTTCGTCTGCGGGCACTTGATGTACGCCATCTCGCTAACTGACACACTGAGACTGCCGCGCAGCAGACCGCCCAGGTGCGCCGGCGGGTGGGTGAGCTGGTACTCCTCGCCACCACGCTTCTCGAGTGTGATGAAGATGCCCATGTTGTGCTCGCCGGGGAGCACCTTGACGGAGGTGCCAGTGAATTTGGCCGTGATCTGATCGAAGCCACGGGCACTGATGCCCTTCTCGGGGCAGCTGACGTGGAAGGCGCTCACGGGCGGGTGATGCGACGTCTGCTCAGTCAGGTACGAGATGCGCAGGGGCTTCTTGTCTGGCGTGGCCGCACCGTGCTGAGGTACAGTGAGGGAAACGGCAGACGCATTCTTGTCACTCTTTGAAGATGGCTTGAGGGCGGAGAGCCCACCTTTTGCACTGGCCTCGCCAAATGCGGCGCTGTTGATCCTGGGCGCATTGTCTTCGGTCTCCCAGTTGCACTGTACATTGTCAGCGGCGCCGCCTTGTCTCGAGTCCGGGCCTGCTTACGCGGAAGAACTCGCCGAGTACCGAGTTGTATGGCTTGCAAGGCTTGCCCTTGATGTACTTGAGATCCTTTGTGAGCCAGAAGCGGACGACTTCGAGCATGCGGTCAAGGGGCTCGTCCGAGGTGCCGATGCCAGCGAAAGCGTTGGGAGCGTCGATGTAATTCCAGTACTCGAGATTCGGCGTCGGCTCGAGCAACTGCGAAGGAAGAGAGAATCGAACGGCAGCGAGGTCAGAGACGCCGATGAATCTGCGATGCGAAGAATCATGTTAGCCTTGCACAGTGCCTGCAGGGTATGCCCTCTCCGATATCGCGATTTCCATTGCAGACCGCAAGTCATGCGCAACGCGCGTCGTGATCTTCTCCATCCCGAGGAAGGCTCTGTCCATCATGCACGCACCTCTTTAAGATACCCAAAAACGTTCTCAACTTGGAGCCGTCGCTCTGCTGCTCATCGGTGACGGTAGACGTCTCGACGGTGGGCGGCGCTGGTTCGGAAGCTGCTGCTGATGACGCCATGATCGCTGCGTACGCTCGCGAGATCCGGCGGGGAGGTTGGATATGATGTACTATGTAGAAGCACAGAGATATAAAGACCGTAAGTCTAGTTGATATGCAAGGCCAAGAGAATGATAGAGGCTCAGAGTTTGTCTGTAGGGAAAGTCAAGGACGACCGGATTCCAAGATTTCGGTGGTCGATTTGGGCGAAACGGTGACGTTGGCGGGGCGGCACGAGGGCGCGAATGCCGCGATGATACAGGCGATAAGAGGGGGTCGCTTAGCGCTTGGCTGGGCGATCCAGGCTACCCTGAGTTGACTGACTGGTCACTGGACTGTCCAGTCCTTCGACAATGATGCTTGGTACCGTATTATCAAGTAGATGACGCAGATGGATGCCCGCGGCCAGGAGGCAGTGCCGCTTTGTCACCTTCTTCTGGGTTCGTTCACCTGATCGGTGGTGTTTTGCATCACGGGATCCGTGAATACGTACATCCTCCAATCTAACTCCAATTTCGGCCGTGGAGCTTATCAGGGGCTTCAAAGTTTGGAGGAAATGGAGGCTGTCACAGATTGGCACCCTGCACCCAATCATCGCGGCACATGGCGAGGTGTCTGGCAGCGATATCATGGCAAGCTTCCAGCACCCCATTACGAACTGGTCGCACAACAGCACCAGAAACCATGCAGGTACGCCAACGTCGCGACATGCCGCGCCGCGTGATGGGAGGACTGGTCCTCGTTCAAAGGGCCCCGTATCAGTCAAACCACCATGCGTAACGTACCATACGTACATGTACGGTGGTAGACCTACGAAGATGTGGGTGCATGCTGGTAAGCAGATGTAAATCCTCCATTGAATGGGATACAAAGAGAACCGGATTACGGACTAGATCACATACAATATGGCGCACATGCCGCTGTACAGTCTCTTCACGGCTTAGCTCCATCATCCTCTCTGCCAGCTAACCAACCGTTCCAGGGCCACAATCCCTTCTCCTTGCTTTCCACCTCCAACGCCATCAACCTGCGCTTCCTGCCCATCGTAGGCTTGACCGCCACGGGTGCAGTGGACCAGTTGTCCTGGACTGCCTCCTTGGGCTCCCTCATCCTGGCGTGCAACGCAACCGGCAAGGACGCGACCTTCTTAGACAGCGCCGCGATCTTGCGTAGGACCAGAGTGAAGGTGCGTGTCTGCAGAAGCAAGATGAGGATGGTGAAGGGAACGCATACCAGAACCATTACGAGCGCGAAACGCCAGTCATTCGCGGGTATGTCAAAGTCAGTCATCCCAAAGACAGACTACCAGCAGTCAGTACATGACGAGAGGGAGACATTGTATCAACTTACCGTGACGAAAGTGAGTGGGAGGAAGATCATGCTGATCATAGTCAAGATCCGAATGTTGTCGCCCTGATCAATGGCTCGCCTGCTCTCCTTGATGGAGCTACCGCTGAACAGCTGGTCCCTTAGATTCTCAATCTCCTTGCGTGTGCGCTCGTTCCGGTTGAGTACTTCGCCAAGGTCACTGACGACTTTCTCAAGTTCCTTCCTCAGCAAACCCATCTTGTCTCGATAGGCATCCGCGGCCTCTGGCGTCAATGACGAGGGGATGGGCCACAGCAAAGGATGGGTTCCGGCCCAGAATTCATCAGTAAAGGTATCAAAGTAAGAGGCGATCATCGCTTTCAGTCCAGTATTGATGACAGCGAGAGTGTTGTAGGCCCAAAAGTATCGTCGAATGTAGGTAAAATGCTTGTCTTCAAAGAGAAGTTTGTCTCGCAAGCGGCGGTCAAACATGAAATCGGTCTACGACTGTTAGCACAGGGCGACCTCGTAGACAAGCGACACGTACAGGAGGCGTAATGAGCTTGGTGATTCTCTCATGGAGGATCTGGTTCCTCTTGCCGGCATCACGGAACTCTGCGACTAGCAAGTCCAGAAACGCATACGGACCATTGTAGAAGCTTTTCTGCTGGAATTCTTCGCCACGGACGGTGTGCTCGTCATCGGGAAAGCTTTGGATACTCAGAAGATGCCATGCCCCGAACGTGTCAAACAGAAAACCCTCTTTGGTACGCTCCCTTCTAGGGCGGATACGCAGAGGCTTCGTTGGCTCGCCTTCCAGGGACAGGGCAAGGATGGAACCGCACTCGGCTATGTCAACATGATCGCCGGTGCGTTTGTCCGACGGGCGCTTGTCGAATCGCTGCCAAGGTGCTGGCTCAAGACCGTCGCCGACAACAGTGTAGTACTTGAACGCGAAGAAAAACGAGCGCTGACGCAGACGGGCCGTACTGATGGCGGGCTGTGGCACAGGGGCCGTCAGAGGATAAGGATCCTTCTCAAAGGCGCGATGGAGACAGGCATGCGTCCGGCCTCTGTGAGGAACCTCAGACAGAAAGTGATGGATGAGCTCGGACATGTCAAAGTGAGGCGACATGGTGAGATGGAGAGCAGCCATGATCAGCGGCGTGGGTTCTTGGACGATTCTTACCAGTCAGCGAGAGCAACATTTTCATGAACGGGGGAAACGAGAACATACGTGATCCTGCCCACAGACTCTCCCTTGTGGTTCACATCTTTGATACATTCCCAGACCATGGGCGCATCGACAATCTCATCCTGCATGTCGAAAGGGCCGTCACCGGCGTACTTGACGACGCCCTGCACATCGACATCCGTGCTTATCTTCGTCGCCTTGGCGTCGGCATCGACATCGTAGACCTCAAACGTCGCACTGAGATACCCTTCACGTTCAAACGCCGCGAAGTCTCTGAACGGCTGGGCAGTGTCAATGTCTTCCCTCCGCTTCAACACGTCCTCCAGCAAATGCTGTGTCTCGCCCCAGAACTCAGAGTCGCGTAGGTGTTTCAATAGCATGTCATCCGCAAAGGCAAGAGGCGTCAGGGTTTTGGTCGTTCTGGGCGTCTCATCGGGAGGCGGGATAGAAGTAGGCTTGTTGGGCTGGAGGTTGGGGGTGCTATCCAAAAGCCGAATGAAGTTGAGGTCCTCGTCATGGCCAGGAAATGTCCCATCGCTCAGTCGGAGTGTACTTGGAAAGAGTCTAGGCGAAGGCGAGGATGAGTGTCCCAGCACAGGTCGCTCAGGCGCATCGAGTGTCGACCGCCGCGCTGCTGGCCTCGTGATTGTCTGATGGCTCGAAGCTGCGCTGAAGACGGGGCCAGTCGGCGCTCTGGCAGGAGATACAAAAGCCTCACTGACGGTGTGCTGCGTGTCGGAGCGCTCTCGCCTGCGACCGCCCACGTTGTCGTGAAGGGCACGGAGACTCTTGATGTACTGCTCGTGGTGCCGCTCAACCGCTCTCACAAGATCGTCGAGGTTGCTGACCTGCTGGGCTGCCATAGCTCATTGTCCGTGCGCTGGTAAAGGTAGTATCGAAGACTGGACAGGAGCAACAAGCTGAAGAATCACGGAGCGCAGAGGCAGCCCATAGTCCGCCTTTTCAACCATCGTAAGCCGCCTCATTCTACTTGCTAGGCAGCGTCGGCGCCCACCGATGGAATTGGGATCAGCTCTGCGGCTGCGGCTGAGCATCCCCTACAGACCAGAGCTGGGCGTCGCAGACTCGCAGTCCGATTGGGACATTGTGTCGTGGCCGCCCATTGTGGTTCGCATGCGGGAAACCCCCCACCCGAGCTCCCATGACTGTTGTAGAAGAGGCCGTGAATCCGGAACTCCAAGAAGAAATGTGAGCCAATACTCATCCCTCCTCAAGAGCAGGGCGCACTCACCAAGCGTTGTCACATTGGCGCGGAATCGAGGAAATGAACGGCTAGTAGCGGATGATAAACAACATGACGAGGTTTTGAATATTCCTGTCTCAAATCCTAACGGGCCAACCATGTGATATCTTCCTATAGGCCCTCCCTGTTATCCGTCATCGCGTCGTAACCCTCGTAATCTATGACCCAACACCGTACAACACAAACTGATCTACGGCCACTAACAGTGGACCGACTTTAACGAATTAGTATTCGGTACTTTGCATGAGTAGGCAACTAGGAAGCCACGCTGACGGGCTTGGGGCCTGCGGTGCTGTCAGCAGGCTTGCTGTCGGTGGCGTCGACCTCCATGGCGTCGTCACCAGCAGTGCCAGCAGCACCATCGGCCTCGTCTTCCTCCTCAATTTCGTCCTCGCTCTCATCCTCCAGGTCCACACTGCCCTCGTCGGAGGAATCCTCCTCGTTGGCGTTCTGCTCCGTCTCGACGCCTCCCATCTCAGAGTCCTCGCCAGGCTGGGCCTTTTCCTTGTCCATGTCAGCCTCAGCGGCCTCCTCAGCAGCCTCCTCCTCGGCTTCCTCGGCGCCGTACTGATCACCGTCGGCGACGAGGTCGGCCTCGGGCTGCTCAGGGGGGAATTCGGCGGGCGCAGATGCCTCGGAGTCCCTAGATTGCCTGTTAGTCTTCATTTTGCACGCACAAGGTGCGGTACTCACCACTTGATGGCGAAGCGGGTTACACGAGGCTTCTCGGCCAGAACGTTGCGCCGGACGCGGTCGACGAGAGGCTTGGCAGGGGGCTCATCGATCAGCTCCTGGGAATCGTATTCGTTGTTGACATAGTAGCCGACACGGATGAATTCACGACCATCGTAGGCACAGGTCAACAGGACCACAGTGACACCCAGAATGTCAGTCTCGGGAATGCGGGACGTGTTGGGCGCGTCGGCCTCAAAGATGAACTTGTTGACGCCGACGGGAATGGGACCGACGAGAAGGGAGTCGAGTTCTTGGTCGTACTGGTCACTGCACGAGTTAGAAAAGGGCGGTGTAGATTGTGCGCAGCTCAACTCACGAAGTAGCAGAACCAACGTAGGTCAACTTCCATTCGAGATCTGCAACAGTCAGAACAAGGCCTCACGGCAAGCGAAGACTGCGTTACCTTTCTCGAGCTGCTCGTGGCACTCAAAGGTGATCTCGAATTCGTACTTGTCCGTGAACTTGGCGGGGTTGTTCAGGATGTTGACACCCAAAAGACCGACGACGGACATGATGGCGATTTGAGGGGGATCGTGAGGTGAAGAAGAGAGATTCGCTGTGAGCGTGATTGAAGTCGTTGCAGGACTACGTCGCGGAGAATGCTGTTGGCGTGGAAACAGAAGATCGGCCTCAACAATGGATGAAGAGGGGCAGGCTTCGAGTATTCGGTTGGTTGACTCGCACGGGTTGTTTTGCGCACGACGACGAGGAGACAAATGCTGGCTTGAGAATGGGATGCAGGTTGGAAGAAGAAGATGATGGAGACCAGAGACGGGACTTTATCAACACAAGCTTGCCGCAAAATCGAAGGCTGACTGGAACATGAGCTTGAGCTGAGCTGATGGTGGGACGCGCCTGAAGGGACCCAGAGCGCGTTGAGTGGTTGCACCTGCTTGACGCGACAAGTTGCAGGGAGTCTCAATTGTGCCGGGTCCGTGCACACCCACAGCAAAGATCCACACCGCTCAAGGCGGCGCTAAGCCTATCTCGCAATTCTGCCATTTGGCCCAGCCTCCTAGCCAGAGGCTGACAATGAATCAATGTTCCAAGCTCCAAGACTCCAATCTATCGACTTGCTACGTCCCTTTTCACCCTGCTCATCACCAAATCCTGAATTGAAGCCGCTCGCCCTTTGAGCCATCTCGAAATATCGGCACGAGCGCCTCAGCTCCGCGACATACCCTCGTAGTGATCACCGACCGCGACGTGCGAATTTTGCGACGCCAACTCAGAGCTCGCAAGGCATCGCGCTCTGGCGCAGCCGCTTATCGCAGCATACGATTGAGTATCGCGAGAATGGCTTCGGAAGATGCTTCATGGGGTGAAGAGGGTTTCGAGGGCGCAAATGGCGATCCTACTCAGCATAGCGAGCAGAATATTGAAGATACTGCGCAAGATCCACATGCCCCTGGTGATGCAGACGAAGATGGCTCAGATGACGGAGGAGACTATGATCCAGAATCTGTTTCCTTTGACCCTTCCAATCAAGTTCCAGAACCAGCTGCCTCTGCAGTGCCCGAACCAGCTCCCGCACCCAGCAAGCCCAAGATGACCGGCGGTTTCATAGTGGAGGCATCAGACGACGAGGATGAGGAAGAGGACGAAGCGGAGGAGAAGAAGGACGACCAGAAGCAGGAGCAACAGCAGGACCAGGACCAGACGCAGGAGCAACAGCAGCAAGCCCCCGTCCCTCCCGCGACGGGAGAAAAAGCTGGAGAGACAGCTGAAGCAGCGCGAAGTGCTTCGGCTGTCCCAAGTACCACTAACGCAGTAGCAGCACAAGCGCCGCCGCCGCCGCATGTCCCTGGCATCGATCCCGTGCAACTGCTCGAGGCGCGTGTGAAGGAGGATCCCCGAGGCGACACGGACGCTTGGCTGGAACTCATGGCAGAGTACACGCGGCGCGAGAACTATGAGGCTCTGCGTGCCGCATACGACCGCTGCGTGAACGTCTTTCCACAGGCTGTAAGGATCCCTCTTTGCTTGTGTATATCGCCTTGTGCTAACCTGCCTTAGGCTGATGTCTGGGTTGAATGGATCGAACTGGAGCTTCGCATGGATAATTTCCGCGCTGTTGAGCATCTGTTTGAACGCTGCCTCGGGCTCGTCCCCAGCGTCAAGTTATGGACTGTCTACCTGGATTACATCCGTCGCATCAATGACTTGAGCAACGACGCATCAGGCCAGGCCCGTCGCACGATCACACAGTCTTATGAGTTCACCATCGAGCGCGTTGGTGTCGACAAGGATTCTGGGGTCATCTGGTCAGACTACATTCAATTCCTCAAGACTGGCCCCGGCCAGGTTGGCGGCACGGGGTGGCAGGATCAGCAAAAGATGGACCAGCTTCGCAAGGCCTACCACCGCGCCATCAACGTGCCCACGTCAAAAGTCAACGAGCTGTGGAGAGAATACGACCAGTTCGAAATGAGCCTCAACAAGATGACAGGTCGTAAATTCATCCAAGAGCGCTCACCCGGCTACATGTCGGCCAAGAGCGCCAACATCGCCCTCGACAATATCACGCGCAACCTCCGGCGAACCAAATTACCTCGCCTCCCGCCTGCGCCTGGGTTTGATGGTGATGTCGAATACAAGGAGCAGGTCGAAATTTGGAAGAAATGGATTGCTTGGGAGAAGGACGATCATTTGGTGCTCGCCACCGATGAGCCCAAGGTGTTCAAGCAGCGCGTCATGTACTGTTACAGGCAGGCCCTGATGGCTCTTCGCTTCTGCCCCGAGATTTGGCTGGATGCAGCCGACTGGTGTTTCAAGAATGATGTGCGCGAAGACGACAAGGAGACTGCCACCGAAATGCTTGTGCAGGGCATCGCCGCCAACCCGGAAAGTGTGCTTCTGGCGTTCAAGCATGCCGATCACATTGAGGCCAATTACCCTGTCAAGGAGGGTGACACTGTCGAGTTCGCCAAAGCTGTGCGGAGGCCGCTTGACGACGTCCTCGGGACGCTGTACGCATTGGGGGACAAGGTGAAGGAACGGGAGAAGCTCGAGGTATCTACGCTCAAGCAGCAAGCAGCCCAGGAGAAGTCGGAGGATGCTGCCGAAAACCAATACGATGACGAGGAAGAGGGTGGTCTGCCTCGCAAGTCGTCTACAGAGCTCCGCATCGAAGCCATTCAGAAAGGCTATGCTGCCGAGACACAACTGCTGTCGCGCACCATCTCCTATGTGTGGATCGCCATGGCACGTGCCATGCGCCGGATCCAAGGCAAGGGCAACCAGACAGAGGGGGGCCTTCGCAAGGTGTTCACCGATGCTCGCCAAAAGGGCCGGCTCACTAGCGATGTATATGTTGCGGTGGCACTGCTGGAGTCCGTGGTATACAAGGACCCAGTGGGCGCCAAGATCTTCGAGCGCGGTGCTCGCCTCTTCCCGAATGACGAGGTCTTCATGATAGAGTACCTGAAGTTCCTCCATAGCAAGGACGATACTACGAGTAAGTTTGCCGAGCTGATCTTTTGGGGAGTGCTAACAAACAACCACAGATGCTCGCGTCGTTTTCGAGACATGTGTCAACCGCCTCGTCAGCAAACCCGAGACCCTCCACAAGGCGAAGCCTCTGTACGCCTACTTTCACAAGTATGAGTCGCAGTTTGGCGAACTCTCGCAGATCTCCAAGTTGGAGGATCGCATGGCGGAGCTTTTCCCCGACGACCCCAGGTTGAGCTACTTTACGGCACGCTACTCTTCCGACAAGTTCGATCCCGTGGCGGCCCCTGTCATCATCTCCAAATCAGCACAGATGCGACCCAAACAGCTGTTGCCGACGATTGAGCAACCCGCGTCTATGCGATCCAGCCCGCAGCCGGCGGCGTACGAAAGCCCGAGGCCACACTACGTCCAAGTTGCGCCCTCGCCCAAAAGGCCGCTTGGGCCCGATGACGAGGAGCTCAATCCACCCAAGCGACTCGCTAGGGGGGTTTCGCCGCTCAAGGGAGCCGCAGGGCGTCGTCTGGACCAGCAGCGTCGCAATCAGGTTTCGGCTCTGCACAGAGACATTACATTCATTCTGTCCATCCTGCCACCGGCTCACACCTATGATGGCGCGCCGCTAAACGCGGCGGGATTGACAAACATACTGAGAGAGACACCACTGCCCCCCGTATCCGAGTGGATCTCTAAGATGGGTGCGCAAGCACGTCAGCAGACGCCCGGCCATGGCCGCCAGACTTCTGGTGAATACGCAAGCCGCCCACTCAGTCCATTTGGCCGCGTTCAGTCTGCCTCGGGCGGGTATAGGAACTCGCCTCTCGCGGCTGGCGCGACCTACCCTCCACCCCCCAATGCAGGTGCTCTGCCCCCTGGCGCTCTGCCTCCTGGCTGGCCCGCACCACCAGCAGGGTATGGGCAACCTCAGCCGCCTCAATACGGTGGCTACCCGTACTAAGGATAGTTTGGACGTGTTGTGTAGGATAGGGGGTCATGTCGTTGGTTCCGCTTCACGCACTCTTTGTGTTCACTGCATTGCTGGCGTTGACATTACGGGGACCAAAAACAATGGAGGTCCCCAGGCAAACTTCGACAAGCTGCACAGGGAGTTCCGGCGAGGGATGCATGTAATCCATTTGCAGACAGTCATTTAGTAAAGAGACATAATACAGTTGTGGAACTATTGGCCTCGTTGCCTCGACTTGCATGACACTCGCTTATTGAAAGCCATTGCGAGCCTTTCCACATGGCAGACGAATTACCCCGGGTACTTTAGTGAATTTAGTCAATCGTGTATGTGTTTGGCATCGCATCTGGACATCGGTACGCGGTGTGTTGTACGGGTAGCTGCGTCGTTAGCACCCCAGAGATGAGCACGCACGCAAGCAAAAGCCAGAACAGTGGTGGAAACACGCACTCGAGGTCTATACAGTGAGGCAATACCTGTGTGAACTAACGCTTACAGTACAGCGTATTGTTATGTCACCTCGTGGAGACTGTAGCCCTCTAGCAACGGTGAGTCTCGAGGACTGGAGTCGGGTGATCACGCTGACGTCTGGCCCCCCTGAACAAACATCGGACGACGTTTGCCTATTCACGCAAGGCTTTGTTTTCTTTTCTCTTTGCTCTCTCTTCCACCTCCGCACCACCTCCAGATCTCTCCTCGCCGCACCGGCGTGAGTTCCTTCCTGTTCACACTTGTGATCACCAACACACCGCTCCCCTTCCTTCCTCATCTTGAAAGGCTTCACGCAACCTTGTTGGCACATAGGTAGCTGAAAGCCTCAGGCATTACAGTCTGCCAACTGGGTATAAAGCCACCCTCTTCTTCCCTTAACTCTTCTCCCTATTCCTCATCACCACCAACTACAACTTCTCTTGCCTTCTACAACACTTCAAACATCTGGACAAGGCTCACCCATTTGATCTCAGCCACACAAATCACCATCTTTAACCAGTGGCTCACCATTACTACCTTACTGTACGTATATGATTCCTTACCCATGAGCTCTGCACTGTCTGGCTGCTCACACAGCTCAAGCTGTTGTGAGCTTTCGCCGTTGACAATCTTTTCTTTACCATTCACTTCCCGGTGACCGGCAGCCTTTTACTCATAATCTTCTCAGAGACTGACTATCTTTATTAGCAGATCCAGATCTAGATCAGCCTCAAGCACATCGCCATGTCTGAACGTGGCCGCTCACCAGCGCCATCTGGCACCGGCTCTCGCCCAGGATCTCCTGCTCCTTCGGCTGGAAACTCTCCAGCTGGCTACCCGCCTGCTCTGGGCAGCGACCCTGGACGGCTCCAAGCGGACAAGAAGACAAACACCCGGATCGAGCTTGGCCCTGAGGCCTATGTCTCTGGAAACGCGGATAAGTTCACAGAGCGTGGACAGAAATATAACACCGAAGGTGTTCAAGACATGGTCGGTTCCAATCAGTACCGCATGAAGACCTTTGATTTCTCAAAGAAGATTTACCAATACGATGTAAGTGCTCCAAATATTCATAACTTTGTGTCAGTACTTATTGAGATTAGGTGATCATTACTCCGGAAGATCGAAAGACCCCGTTCAAGAAGATCATGGCGCACCGCAGCGTTCAACAAATCCTCGCTCCATACAAGCCGGAGCTTTGGCTGTTCGATGGCAAAAAGCTTGCCTGGGCACCTGGCAAAGTCAACGGCGGTGAGATCCGTGCCAAGGTTGACCTTGACGAAGACGAGCGTCCTGCCGGTGAAACTCCTCGCTCTGGCGCCGTCTTCAATGTTGCTTTGCGTGTCACAACGGAGATCAACCTGTCACTTTTGCAAGCCTATCTGGAAAAGAAGACCTCATTCAACTCCAAGGTCATTGAGGCTCTCAGCTTCGTGGACCATCTCTTGCGTCAAGGCCCATCAGAGAAGTTGCTGTCCATCAAGAAGAACTTCTACAACACTGCAAGGAAGTCCCGCCCTCTTGTGGATGGCAAGCTTCTCGAAGTCCACAAGGGTCTTTATGCCTCCATTCGTCTGAGCCACAACCTTGGCCAGGGCGGCGTGGGCTTGGCTCTGAACTGTGATGTTGCCAACACAGCTTTCTGGGTTTCTGGCGAGTCCCTCGAGCAGATCAGCTGCTACTTTCTGGCGGCCAACGATCCGAAGAAGTACATGGGTCTCAATCCAGCCACAACACTGGCCCAAGCCCTCAAGCCAATAAAGACGAAGGAAGGAATTGGGATGACAGATGCCATGAAGCAGCTGCGCAAGCTTCGGAAGTTGAAGTTCAAAGTTCGCTGCCGCAACCGCCCGGCTAGCATGGACAACAAAGTTTATACCATCATGGACATCAGCTTTGACAAGTCGGGAAAGCTAGGTCCCGATGGCGCGACAGCCAAAACAGTCACGTTCGATTACCAGGGAAAGAGAACCAGCATCGCCGAGTACTACAGACTCAGGTATGGGTACACAATGAAGTACTCCAACTTGCCACTCGTGGAGACTGCCAAAGACGCGAAATTTCCCATGGAGCTTTGCTATATTGAGCCCATGCAGCGGTACAACTTCAAGCTCAGCCCGAAGCAGACCGAGTCAATGATCAAGATTGCGGTTACCAAGCCACCGCAGCGCAAGGCTGATATTGAAGTTGGCGTCAAGGAGCTTGACCTGCCCAATGACCGCCTCATGAAGTACTACGGTGCTACATTCGAGCAGCAATTTTCTCAGGTTCAGGCCCGTATCCTCGCCCCGCCTTCAGTGGACTTCAAGGTCGGCAAGCAGGAGCCTCGATTCGGTGGTCGATGGCGTCTTGACCAGGGCAACATCAAGTTCTGGAAGGCCAACACCGTACCTCTCAAGAACTGGGGCTTCATCGCCCTCAACAACTGTGTGCCCAAGCAGGCTCTCGATGCTTTTGGGCGAAAGTTCAAGCAGATCTTGGAGAAGCACGGCGTGGGCGTACCTGCGCCGCCCATGATTCTGGAGATTCCTGGCAACGCGCGTGACACGGCCAAGTCGATTGAATGGGCTCACGGCGAAATCACCAAGGCTCGCGGCTACACGCAGCTATTGTGTATCATTGTTGGTTTCAAGAATGACCCTTCGTACGAGCGCATCAAGAAGAACGCTGATTGCCGTTTCGGCTTCTTGTCGCAGTGCATGGTCGCTGACCATCTCAAAAAGGAGGGTGGCGTCGACCAATATGTGTCCAACGTTGCCATGAAGATCAACGCCAAGCTTGGCGGTGCGACGGCTCGCACAGCTTCACCTTTTGGCAAGGGACCTACCTACTTCCCCCCTAACCGCAAAACTATGATCATTGGTGCCGACATTAGCCATCCTGCGCCCGGGGGAGATACTGCCTCGATCGCAGCCTTCACTATGAACATGGACGCGGACGCAAACCGATACGGTGCTGCTGTTGAGTCCAATGGCTACCGCACGGAGATGATCAAGGCCCCGAACATTGACAAGTTCATGGCCACGCTGGGTGGTGCCTGGCGTCAGTCTCATGGCAACGGCGTCCCGGATCATATCATGTACTTCCGCGATGGCGTTGCCGAGAACCAATTTGCGGCTGTTCTTGATCAGGAGGTCGCAGCGATCCGCAACTTCTTTGCTTCACGTAACGTGAAGCCTCTGCCTAAGTTCACAGTCATTGTGGCCACCAAGCGCCACCATATTCGCTTCTTCCCTGGACCTGACCAGCGTAACAAGGGCGGTGATCAGAACGGCAACTCGAAGCCGGGCCTTCTGGTTGAACGCGAGGTCACTCATCCATCTCTGTGGGATTTCTACCTAAACTCACACAAGGCGATTCAGGGCACTGCTCGTCCTGTCCACTACTATGTGATCAAGGATGAAATGAACTGTCCGCCTAACGACCTCCAGCGTATGATCTACCATCAGTGTTACTCGTACGCTCGATCCACGACCCCGGTCTCCATCCACCCCGCGGTCTACTATGCCCATCTCGCGGCGGATCGGGCTCGCGCCCATGAGAACGTTGCCACAAGCCAGGGATTCCGGGCGTATGGCAAGGGCCATGAGGTCACGCGCGACCGTATTGCCAAGGGACAGACCATTGGTGCCACAGGAGACTCGCTGAAGAATGCCGAAGCGCCTCCTCTTCTGTCCCTTGGAGGCCAGGTGCCCGAGGGTGCCACGCCGGATGAGAAGGGCATCCGCACTTTCATGAAGACCACCATGTGGTATATCTGAGCAGCGCGACAGTGATTGGAGAGTCACTAGGAATGGGCTACTGATATCGGGGGAATGAGATGTTGGGAGAGATATCTTTAGAGACTCATGGCAACGTTGGCACCGGGAAGAATAGCAAATTCAATGGTTGCCTTAAGACTGGTTGAAATGAATGGAAGTGATTGCACATTGCAATCATCCTACAGTGACTCGCTGACTTTGACATTTGCAGCATTCATTCACGAAATTGAGCTTTGCAGATGCCAACTTGTCGATAGTGCAGTGGCGCTGATGGCGGACAGGGTTGACACGAACAAGATGGGGTGTCTGATGAGTGCTTCGCTCTCGTTCTGGGCAGAAATCCTCGCCTTTCGCTAACAATGTCATGTTAATTACAAAAGGTTCTTTATCGTGGTGTTTGAAACCAGCCAACAGACATCACCTGGCTTACCGGTGATGTACCCATTTTCAGGGGCTGAACGACGATTCCAATACCAGCCCACTACTCACAAGCAACCAGGTAGGCCACGCTCACTGACATGTCCAGCAAGCTGCCAAACTCACATCTCCACAATCCTCTTGATAAACTGCCCTCTTGGGATATGCACACAGTATCCTCTCGTGAGTGGCACAGCCAACCTTGACCTGCACGTCACTCGCGTCAGGGGCAACCCCCTCCTCGACCCAGGCCTGAAGCTGCTTGAAGAGCTTGGTGGGAACCTGGCTCGGCCCACCGGTGCAGTGTTCGATACCCGGGGCTTCGAAGTAGCGGTAGAACTCTTGCACGTCGGGCGAAATCCCTGCGACAGCGTTGTAGTAGTCCTCTGTGGCGCGGTGGGGGATAAGAGGATCCATCTAGTCTCGTCAGTGGTGTACATGGTATGATGTATCAAAGTGAGAAGCATGGGACTGGAACGTACTAGGCCGTGCCATGTGACCATCTTACCGCCACTGGCGTGGAACGCGGTCAGATCGGGATCGCTTGAATCGAGAATGGCCCCGTACTCCTCGCGACTGCGTGCTACAATCGTGTCCAGAAACTCTTCTCTGGTCATGCTCGTGTCAAAGATGGCTTCCGGGTCCTTGGCGAGGAAATACTTGATGTACCCTTCCGCCAGAGGACCCAGGTTGCCGAAGCAGGTACCGTCTGCGCAGGCCGTACCGAGCAACATGGGAAGCGCATCAGTTCCTGTGAGGTTGGCACCGGGGGAGACACCAGGGTATATGCTCGACTGGTTGTTGCGCATGATCGGCATGCCACGCCAGACCTCCTCGACCAAGTCAGCAGCCACCTTGGTGATGTCCATTTGACCTTGTTCGGTTTGTGCGCAGGGTATATTCTTGTTGATCATTGAATGGGGATCGAAAGTGGCGAGACACTCGTCAACCCTGGACAGGAGGCGATCTTTGACCCCGTCGAGACCGTCGCAAGCAGAGAGAGCCGCGGCTGTGATGGCGTCAATCTCGCATGCGTACGGATACTGCCTCCTCTCATTCATGAGCTGCTGCCCCCATGCCATGTACGGTAGCAGCTCTGTAAAGTAAATCGCCGGCGCGATCGCGGCGATGCCATCGTACAGATCAGGGTAACGTTGCGCGAGGAGGAGACCCTGTCGACCGCCCTGGGAGCAGCCGTTGAAGTAGGAGAAAGAAGGGGCCGCTCCATAGAAGTCTTGCACCAGCGCCTTACCAAATAGTGCCTATATAAGTTAGCTCTGGACGGACATTCACGACAGCGTTGCTGTGGGCGAGGAAGGTTGAGGAGTTTCCCACCTCGTCTTCGAGAGCCTGGTATGCCTGATTTCGGAAGTTGATCATGTCGACCTCGCCCGGGCGGACGAGTGCCCATTCACTTGGATCCGCGGCTTCTCCCAGCCCGGCATCTGTGACAATCGTGGCAAAGCCATCGGCAATCGCTCCGCTCATGGCCAACCGTCCAAAATCGGATCGACCAGCATTCCAGCCACCGCCGCCTACCGCCAGGAATCTCTGGTTCCAGTCCCTATGAAGGGGGAGCCATGCCTCGACGGTGATGACGTGGTTGCTGTCGTTGGCGTGGGTGTACTGGATCGTCACGTTGCAGAACTCTGCGTTGACGAGGTCGATGTCGGGCGCGGTGAAGCGTGAACCAGCCGTCACGGTGGCATTGTAGCCCGTGATTGGGGTCGCTTCTAGGGAGAGGATGTCTGTGCCCCCGATGGATGGTGAGAATGTGTCGGGCGTGCAGGCTTGACCCAGGCTGGTGGACATGGCTGGAGACTATAAGATGGGATGATGATGCCCTCTAGAGATGGCCCGAAATACGGGGCACGCAGCGTTGGCACAGAGTACTTATGTTGTCTCCGGATAAATAGAGGTATCCTGGCATCTCTCAACATGAACTGGCATGCTGTGAGTTCCAGTTAGTTGAGCGGGGACTGAAGGATTGCATCCTGCGCACTCTGCTACCATGTATGCACGCTGCATTGATACAGTACATGCATGCTGGAGACTTGGTAGGAGCAGAGGCCATGACAGATGCGCATCTGTTTAATCTAAAAAAGAAAGATCATTGGCTGCGTGTATGTCACGATCCGGCACACATGAAGGAGTAGACGGACGGATATCAGGTCCCGGTCCTCTTTGGGTAGCCCCCATGTACGCTGCGTAGTATTCAAGCGATACATTGGTCAGGGGTAGGTAGATAATCGATTCCTGGTGTCCGGCTTCACGGAACATGGACCAGCACATTGCATCTTGTGTCTCAAAGCTCGTCCACTATAAAATACGCGAGAAACATATTAGAGCGCATTAGACATGGACACTTCAATGAGAGGAACAATGTGCAAAGGGTCACTGAGATTCCCAAGGCCATGCATGGAGCCTCTCGATATATGTATGTATGCTCAGGGATTCAAGATGTACAGAGGTTTTAATGGTCGCCCCCGACGGTACTGGGCGACTTGGTTCAGAGAGTCCAAGATTTTGACAAGAAAGGAGTCGAGGGGAGGAATGGCGGGCCTTATTTCTAGACTCCTATCTCGTTGCGCGAAATAGAGTTAAAATTAAGCTTAGTCCGAGTCTCTCACCATGTTTTCGACAGCGCCAAATCCCTCCCCCAAACCCCAACTTCTTGCACGCATTGCACAGACGGGAAGCTATCAAGATATCTCACGCCAGAGCTTCATTAAACTGATCGACGCCTTAGGCCTCGGCGTCTACAGTCCGTGAAGCGTCCACGTCCTCGCCGACACTGCGGCTCTCGGCGTCCGACTCGGCAGAACATGTCGACTGCAAGTCCCGATGCCGATCCCTAGCCCCGGCACTCAGACTTATCTCGTCTCCTACCGCTTCGATCTGGCGTGACAGGGTGTTGGAGACCGGAAAACGGGGCTACAGAATCTCAAGTAAGGAGAATAAGTTGCCTTGTCGTCGTTCCTCAGTTGTATCCTTCGTATGCCGGCTGGAAGCCGCACGTGTTCGCCCCTTCGACTTGTCTCGAAACGGAAACCATTCATGTTGGATGTGAATGGCTGACAAATGTGACTGTGCGCTCGTAGAAGGGACTCTTTGTGAGATAAGTCGCTTCGCAGTCGGTCGAGCGTTCAACATCGAATGATCCCTCGCAACCACCTGGAGCCAGACGCTTCTCCAAAGTACGAACATCCCATCTTCCGGGAGGAGCGAAACTGAATGCACAGGAGTGTATCCATATGACAATGACACGAACCTCATGTGGGTGGCCACCTATACCGTGCAAAGGTCATTATGAAATGTGTGAATTGCTGCTACGTACTACAGCGTCTGTACGTCGAGGACGCCTCCTTCACTCCCCACTATATAGTCGGTCCTGATGAACGAAGCCTCGACTGTCCAACGTCAACGAAAGCGCAATGCCGGGCCAAGAAACCACCTTAAAATTTCAAAAATCAAACGCAAAATGTGGCCCCTCTGAACGCCGATCCGTCTGTGGGCAGACAGATAGATAGATGCCCCTGGTCATGCATGAAAAAAAAGCAGAGAAAGCAACTTAGGAAACAAATGCGTCAAGGAAAGCAATTATAGTCGAAATGCTCCACGTGAGCGTCGCGAGGCTTGGCCATGCCTCATCACTGCTTGCCTCGGCCGCGGACACCCTTGCGGTTACCGGGCTTGCGGCCGTTGGCGAGCCGACCGGCCGGAGTTCGAGCAGAGCCGTTGGTCATCCACGGGCGGCCGGGACTTGGCTGGCGCGGGGCAGAGTCCTCGGCGCAGACCGTGCTGGACCTTTCAGACCCCTAGCCCGAAGAGATTCTAGGCAGCGGAACTGGTGTCATCTTGGAGGCGGCTGTGGGCGCCGCGGTTGTGCTGCTGCCCTGCGTCTTGGGCGTCTTGCTCTTCTTCGCCTTCTTCGCGGCTGGTGTCGTCGAGGCGGCCGCAGAAACAGGCGCGCTGGGGGCAGCCTGCGAGGAGGACGGGATAGGGGGCAGAGGCACGGGCGTGCTGGTCTTGGCAGTGGTGGTGCTGGTGGTGTTGGTGGTGCCGTTGGTGGTGTTCGCCACAGCCGCCTTCTTTGACTTCTTAGGCGCCTTGGCCTTGGGAGCGGGCGCGGCCGTCTCTGTAGGCTTGGGCAGCTCGCTGGCCGCCGTCTCCTGCGGTGAAGGGCTGGCAACACGTGGCTTCTTCTGCTTCTTGGCCACCTTACTGGCCTTCTGCGTCTCTTCCAGAAGCTGTGTCGCGGCCTCCTCGGCGTCCTGCTCAGACTCGGTGGCCTTCCTCTTCAATGATGGGGTCGAGGCGGCGGAGGCGGCAGACGCGGCCTTTTTGGCCTTTCGCGCAGCCTTGGCCGCAGCCTTGTCGGCTTTGGCCTGTTCCTTCTGGCTCAAGCCCGTGGCGGCAGGCGCATCAGTCATCTCAATGTCGTTTCCATCCTTAATCTGCTGTGTGCGGTTCAGACTCGCCGGGTCGTAGACGCCGATCGGGGTAAACCGAGATCGCAGGCCCTCGGGCTGAGGGCGAGCTGGAGGTGGAGGCGCCGGACCATCAACGCTCGCAGCTGACGA